GTATCAAGCAAGACAACTTAAAAAAAACAAAGAAATCAAAGATACGTGGACGGCAGATGGGAAAATCTTCATAAAATACCATGATGACAAAACAAAAATGTGTACAAGAATTGATGACCTTAAACCAGGTGCAGTATCCCAAACAAAAACATATGCCAGTGCGGCCATGGAAACAGTTGGACTTTCCTCATAGTGGCCACACTGACTGTAAATACCAAGGTGTCAGAGACCAGTCTGACTAAACAGACTTATACACCGGTTAAAACTTGCAATTTTGTTCTATGAACACAAAAAAACAATATATATATATATATTGCTCAGATTACCTAAAGTAGATATGTATATGCTTACCACATGTATCTGTGTAACTCCAGATCCACGTGCATTTCGACTTTATGGAAAATCCCTAATGTCACGTGATACTTCTCAAAAAAGGGAAAAACACAATTTATTTTTAGAATACCAATACACATTTTTTTATGCTGCGTATTGTACTACGCACAGTACTTATACTATCTTTTTATGACGTGGGAAAAACTTCCCTTTATTATTCCTGTATATATTCAATTATTCTTTTTCCAAACAAGTTGCACTTTTCTTTGTTGTATTCTAGTGTATATTTGCACTTTTCCTCCTATATGTTCTTTATTTTCGTACCAGTGTAATTATTTTGCACTTAAAATGCTGAGTATAATCTTATCAAATTATTATGGAATTCTTGTTACAAATTATACATGTACGTATATCCTCCAAGTTGGCGAAAAACGGAAAAAATTGTTTACTGCTCCGGAAATTGTTGATCCTTTTAAATTCTATATTTATTTTAAACATGTCAACATCCTGTGTGTACCATGTGGTGAGACTCAGGTATTTTTTCTAATTATTCAATTGATAACTTATGATACACATGATTAATTTTCTTTTATGTGCTAAAAACCAGAGTCTCCCGAATTATTTATATATTCCAGATTGTCTGTCACTAATATGTAACTATTCAGACTTGAGGTTCACATGGCTCAATGTTGAATCACATACATCTGCATTTTTAAATGTGTTCAAAAATTCTCATTATTATATTTTAGTATTGGGTTTTTTACTCATAATGGGTAATTTAGAAACAAACCCTGGACCAATACCAAATAATTTTGGAACTCGAAATTTAAGCATAGTCCATAATAATGTATGTAGTTTACTTAACAAAGTTGATGTGGTTTATAATGAGTTGTCTGAATATGATATTATTGGCATTACTGAAACTCACCTTGATAATAATATACCCAATGATGAAATCATGTTTCATGGTTTTCATCCTCCGATTAGAAAGGATCGTAATAGGTTTGGGGGTGGAATACTGTTTTATATTTCCCTAGACTTGCATTTTATCATAAGAGATGATCTTAATATTACTGACATTGAGCTTCTGTGGTGTGAAATACATATGCAAGATAATAAGAAAATTTTACTTGGTTTAATATATCGACCACCTAATTCCACTGTCTCCTACTTTGAGCGTCTTTCTGATTCACTAGATATAGTATCAAATGAGTCCATGCCAGTATTTCTTATGGGTGATTTTAACATTGATATGTTGAGCAGTGGAAATAATATTTTTAAACAATGTATGATACAAAAAAATTTATTAAACCTGATTAATGAACCAACAAATTTTACAACTACTCCTGGTACTTGTATAGATTTAGTTTTCACCAATAATCTAAGTATTGTAGATAATGTGTATGTAGCATCTCCATTCTGTAGTACACATTCACCTGTTAGTTTTGATATAAAATACAAAACTTTCAAACAATATGCTTATAAACGCACCATAAGAAACTATGAGGATGTTAATTTTAAAGATATTGAAAATGATCTTAACAAAGTCAATTGGGACTCCACAGTCTTTAATTCCTCAAACATAAATGAAATATATGATAATTTCTTACACACGTATGATGCTATCTTGGATAAACATATACCTAAAAAGGTAGTCACAATTAGGCCACGAGATAAACCATTCATGAATAATAGTATACGTCTAAGAATAAGGCAACGAAATCGTATACACAAAAAAGCGAAACGTAAAGATTGCCCAAACCTATGGTGTCATTTTAGAGAATTGCGAAATGAGGTAATTTCTATGGTTAGAAATGCCAAAGAAAAGTATAAGAAAAAACTTACATCTCAAATACTTAATAAAGATATTCCACCAGGAAAATGGTGGCGAATTACAAAATCAATTGCAAAACTTTCAAATAAACATAAACCTATGCCTCCCTTAAAATCAAATGGTCAAATTTTACTTCATCCATTAGAAAAGGCAGAAGCATTAAATAACTTTTACTCAAATGTTTCTAGTGTTGATGAAAGTAAAACCTTGCCTGAGCATGGACCTGGTCCTCCCTTAGTAACCATAGAAAACATATTTGTCACTGAACAAGATGTGGCTGATCAATTGAATAATTTAAATGTAAGCAAACCCCCTGGTCCAGATGGTATAACACCAAAGATTCTTAAACAATTATCCTCCCCCATCTGTAAACCACTAGTAAAACTTTTTAATAAGTCGTTTGAATTAAAACGTTTACCAAATGTATGGAAGCAAGCTAATATTACCCCAGTATTTAAGGGTAAAGGTAGTCCTGACTTAGTTAATAACTATAGACCAATTTCACTAACTAGTAGTCTTTGCAAGATTATGGAAAAAATTATATTTAAATATTTGTACAATTTTATTTTAGAAAACAATATCTTAACAAAATACCAGTCAGGTTTCCAACCAAATGACTCAACTATCAACCAATTAGTGGAAATTTATAATACGATTATATCAAACCTAGATAAAGGTAAAGATGTTAGATTTATCTTCTGTGATATTTCAAAAGCTTTTGATAAAGTTTGGCATAAAGGTCTACTTTTTAAATTAGAATCATATGGTATTCAAGGTACATTATTAAAATGGATCGAAAATTATTTGGATGACAGAGTTCAAAGAGTGGCCTTAAATGGGTTCTATTCTAATTTTAAACCTATATCTGCAGGTGTTCCTCAGGGTTCTGTTCTAGGTCCTTTCTTATTCCTCCTGTATATTAATGACATAACTGATAATTTAGCTAATAATACAAGGTTATTTGCAGATGATACATCACTGTTTATAATTGTAGATAATGATGTTAATGCAGCAGCAATATCACTTACGTCTGACTTAGATAAAATTAATAAATGGGCTTCAACATGGGCTGTGGATTTTAATCCAACCAAGACCTGTAATTTAAATTTTTCAAGAAGTTCGAATGACCATCCCCCAGTCCATTTTGGGTTTAATGGTAGTATTATTAATGAATCTAGAACACACTGTCATCTTGGACTCCTTTTCCAAAATGATGCCAAATGGTCATCTCATATAAATAATTTATATGAAAAAGCTTGTTCTCGGCTAAATCTTTTAAGAATGTTGAAACATTTGCTAGATAGGAGTGCATTGATAAAAGTTTATTTTGCTTTTATTCGACCCATTTTAGAATATGGTAGCATTGTCTGGGATAATTGCTCACAGGAACTTTCAAATCTTCTAGAAAATATCCAAGTAGAAGCAGCCCGAATAATAACAGGACTTAGGAAAAACTCATCCAGAAATGCTCTGTATTTAGAATTAGGTTGGGAACCATTAAATAATAGAAGGGAAAGACAAAAACTCTTGTTATTTTATAAAATTGTGTATGGTATAGCCCCTCTCTATTTGCAAGAAATGGTCCTACCTTTTATGCCACCAAATCATGGTTACAATCTTAGGAATATTGGTAATTTTAATTTTGTCATACCTCAAGCAAGGACAGTGTCATATTTCAACAGTTTTCTGCCTTCTACTATACAATTATGGAACAATTTACCATTAGAAACAAAATGTATTGAATCCTATTCAAGTTTCAAGAATATCTTAAAGAAACCTACTATAGACAGAATAAAAAATGTCAAGATCTTTAATTATGGTAATCGCAAGGAAAACATTATACATTGTCAACTACGTAATGAATCTAGTAATCTAAATGCTCACTTGTATAATCATTATTTAAGTGAAATGGCATCTTGTACTAAGTGCGGATATCCAAACGAGGATAACTATCATTTTTTCTTAGAATGCCCTGCCTATAATAATCAGAGAATGATACTTTTTGACAGTCTTCAGAGTATAATAGATTTAGAAACCCTCTCTCCTGATCAAATTTTGAATAATTTGCTATTTGGTGATAGGCAATTACCTGATAAAACTAACTGTTCAATTTTTGAAGCAGTCCAACTATACATCAAGTTTTCAAAGCGATTTTGATATTATTTCATATTTAAGTTTTAATATTAATTTCCTAATATTTTTGATATTTATACTTATTTCAAATCTCAGCATTTCCATGTATATATATTGTATTTTTTCTTGGATATTTGTCTTTTGCATTTTCATTTTTTTCTTTATTATTATCCAGTGTTTTTGCTTGTTCCAGATTTATTTTTTTGTTATTATTAATATTATTTTCTTTGCTTTTTTTTTCTTTTTTTTTTTAATTTCCTTGTATATTTGTCTTTTGCACTTCATTTGTTTACTTATTCTTTGCACTCTTTTATTTTTTCATTATATTGTATAGTGAGTATACATGCTAAGTAATAACTCTTGTGAATTTATTAATCTATCTCTCTCTTTTTCCCATTTCTGGTAAAAAAAAAAAAAAGAAGAAATTAATGTAACTTATTATGACTTATTTCATCATGATTGTAAATTATTGTCAATTCTTAACATTTGTAACCTTGACCTTCTTGGAGAGGACTTATATAGGCCATGCCTGATGTCCAATCCAATTATGTAAACTGACTTTACATAATAAAATACTGATTAAATTAAATTAATGTGATAAAAAGAATCTCCCATGATTTGTGGTTGAATATGATTTTTTGGATTCCCCTTGTTTATGGTGTGAAACATGACTTGTAATGGAAAAAATGTCCCAACTTACCTGTGTTACCAGGATGTCTTGTTTCACCATCTCTGTTCCCTGGAAGACGATTTCTGATATCTATAAGGTGTGAAAACATACAATTAATTTTTATCATAATTTCTCATCTGCTCCTATTTTGTATTGTTTAATGGACTTTTGAGCTTGAATACTGTTCGTTATCTCCACATATTTCCTTTTAAAATTCAGATTTTAAATAAATTTCTTATCAAAGTAGCAAAATCCCATTAATGACTGAAGCTTGTACTAATTTACTTGCTGTGTGATGTTTTGACACCCTTTGAATACATACTATCAAACAATGGCCCCATTTTATCCTTGAAACCAAACTGGTTTCTCCTGTAAAACACCACTAGCACCACCACAACAACAAGCACTATGATCAGGAGAGCTACCACCACTCCTACTGCTGCTCCTGCTCCTGATCCACCACTCTCTTCTGGTCTGTTAAAAAGGAATGTCAATCTTAGCAAAGAAAGTCAATCTGCTAAGCTGTTAATCAATCATGTCTGCTTTTCAGAACTAAAAGCAAAAAGAATACAACAGAATGCTAATGTAAACTTTAATAGCTAGTTTCATTATCAAGGTGATTCACTTGTCTCAGGTACATGTAAGTCTTTGTGATGCTCATTTGTGAATGAATACTGGTCACTAAAAGAAATATAATGCTAATATTTATATATTGATAAAGATTGTGCTAATTCATGATAGTGAATGTCTTTATGTTTGTTTCTCTGTAAATAAAATTATCAAAATTATCAACCAGAAATTTGTGAAAAGGTGGGCTTTAAATTAGGATCAATATAATAGATATGCATGTAGAATATAAGAAAGATCCAAGTAGGAAACTTCATTTATATGGGTATTTAGACTACAAGTATTAAGACTGCAAAATTATGGTGACAAGTTTGCAGCTCATGATCATGAGTGACTAAAGTGACCTAAAAAATAAATACATGTATTTTGCTTTACAAATTATTATTATAAATTCTATATATGTGTATGAACTGCAGTAAATTTTTGGCAATTTCATTTAAAAATAAGCTACAGTCTCCAGCCATAAATGAGTTCACAAAATGGCCACTTTAGTGATTTTGTAAGCAATAAATCTCAAATGAAAATGTTTTTACAAATTAACCAAGATATACCCGTTTAAGATTTATGGCATAAAACTTGCATGACTTCAAAACTTTTTAAATTGCAAATAAAATTAAATTATCCCCCTATGATCTGCTTAGTGACATGGCACCCCATGGCAAAGAGTTGATGACAGAGCAAAAAGAAATAATTCTACAGATCGATGTCTAACAAGGGTATAACAGGAATACATGCAAAAACCATTCAAAAATTTCTGAAACGTGTGCATGAACGAGGAAGTGTTGAAAATTTACCATGAAGTGGAAGTGGAAGAAAAACAGAAAAAACAACAGTGAGTGATGACAGGTGTCTGATGCAGAGTGTAAAACAGAATAGAAGGCAGACCCTTAAAGATGTTACAAGCAGATTTAATGCAAGAACTGGGTGTGGTGTGTCCTTTAGGACTGTAAAAAGACAACTGAATGAAGAAGGGTACAAAGGTTGTGTTGTTTCAAAGAAAACAACAGTCTCTCAGACAAATCATGAAAAGAAAAGTCGTTATTGCAGGCAAAAAAACTACACTGGACAGTGGCTAATCAGTGGGCATCTATCATATTTAGTGATGAAACAAAAATCATGCTAGGAAATAACAATAAAGTACATGTATGGAGAAAAGCAGACGAAAGATTAAGACCATGCAGAGTGTCCGGTTTTGCATGGTGATAGGAAGAATGACATGTCGAGCATCCGTTATGTTCTGGGGCTTTATTTTGTTTCATGGAGTTGCACTTTGAAAGCTGTAGATGCAAACATGAACTGTGAGAACTGAATTGAAGTTTGGACGAATGTCTTTGGCCTGTGGTCGCTAGACATTATACAAATCGCAGTTAGGTTTTTCAAGAGGATAATGCTCCACGTCATGCATCCACCAGATCAAATGAATGGTTCAAAGCAGAATAACAAAATAGTAACACTTCCTTGGCCCCCACAGAGCCCAGACCTTAACAGTATTGAAATTACATGTGCAAAGGAGAGCGAATGTGATAATAAATGCTGATGATCTAAAGCTAGTTGATCAAGACACTTGGAGAAAACTCCTTTTGGTTTACATTCGTAGCCTATATCAAAGTCTTCCAAGAAAGATACGGACAGCATTACATTCTTGGGGACATATTACACAGTATTAATCATAAGGTAGGCAATTTTATTTCTTATTGAAAAAAAAAATACAATTTTTTGCATAACAAAATTTAATAACGTGACTTCGGCCATTTTGCGAACTCATTTATGGCATGCGACTATATATCTATAACTACCAATATATTATCTTAAGTTGCTGTTTGTAATTTGTAATTGAGTGCATAAAATTTTTAAAAATTATTTCTATACATGTATTTTAAATTTATTTTTAAAATAAACAAATAAAAAATCTTTAAAATTCCAAAATATTTCATTAAAATCAAATGCTTTCCCTCCATAAAGCCATGGACACAGTGCATCATTTTTCCCAACATATGGTGCAATTTAACACATCAGTTTGCCTTCTCATGTACATTTTCGTATTTCTCTTTAATGCACCCCATGTTACGTATTTTTTGTACACATTGAAAACAGACCATATAGCACATGATGTTTTTTCTACTGTGCAATGGAGAATAATTATATTAAGTAGGCATTACTTCAACTAAGAAAACTAGCATTAAAAGCAATACCTGTATTGAGGGTTTTATCAAGTTAATGTGACATAGCCCATAATTCTGCTAACATAATGTAATAGAAACATTATATTTCACCATAAAACTTTTTTTCTTTCCAAGTTATAATTACGGTTACTATAATAACAAGTACATACATTTAAAATTCAAAACATTCCCCTCATCGAAAAAAGGGAAATAAAATCAATTAAAATACAGTTTAGTGCTATTAACAACACCAATGCCGGGGATATAGCATAAGCTCATCTCGACTTCGTAGAGGTGAGCTAAAAATGCTTATGAAATGCACATCTTGCTGTATAAATCAAATCGATGAGAATTTTCTTTAGAAGTGTTTAATTTCCTTTCTCATATAACAAACATCTTTATTCTTATGAACTTCAGATAGTCAAGAACTAGCAAAATTATGGACCACATCACAAAAGCTAATTATAGCTGTATACAGAAAACAGATTGTGAGTCTGACATACAAGGATAGGTTATATTAGACAGTTTGCATCAGAGAATGAATTAACAAAATGCACCAAAAATTTTACCTCTCTTTTTCTGTTTTATTTCTACAATTGATTACAAGAAATCTAAATTTATAACTGTCATGCTTCATACCATGTTTACTGAAATTTCACTTAATTTCATGGGGTCAAATTTTTTTTTGGTTTGAGGAAAAATTACTGGTTTGGGGGATTTGATTTTGTGGTTAAAGGAGAATCATTATACTGCAGTGTGCACTTTTCACATTTCATAGGAAATATGAATTGGGGGGTCTCTTCATAACAAAGAAAACAAAAATTTAAACCCCCACACAAATTAGTGATTTCAGCTACTCCCAGAGACTACTTAGCTACTGTTTATAGTGTCTAATATTAGAGATTGACACTAAAAAATCAGCTATTTTGATAGAACAATCTTACACACAAATTAAAAAGTGAATAGGTTGCAATTCTCACTCTATTTAAGTATTGCAAATCTTTAAGGATGTAAACTGTAGAATGTTAGTAATATTTGTGTTAATTAGTCATAGAAAATCATTTCAAGTCGTAAACTATTTACAAATGTGAACATGCATATCTACATCACCAAAAACATAGGTAATCAAAATTACAGAGCTCACTTCAACAAATGTTGTCTTTAATTAAGGCAAAGTCCCACACTAAACTTATAATCTAGTAGTGTACATCCAAAGATGCAACATTTATATTTTGATCTGAAAGGGCTTGCAGATACTTGGGAATGGACTTATCTAAAAACTTCAAACTAGTTACTCATCTGGAAAATGTAAACCAAATCCAGCATCCGAAGCAAATTTGAGAGTATTCATCCCTTGATCTTGATGCATCATCCTTGAAAGTTTGTTTCAGATAGGCCTTATAGTTTCTTGGAAATGAGACCTGCTCCAAAAACTTTAACCTGGTCCCTCATCTGGAAAATGTAGGTCAGATCCAGCATCCAAGGCAAGTCCAGTAGTGTGCATCCTTAGATGTATCATCCTTGCAAGTTTGATCAACATAGGGCTTATAATAACTTTGGAATGAACCTGCACCAAAAACTTTAACCTGGTCACTCATACGGAAAATGTAGGTCAGATCAAGCATTCAAAGGTAGCCTGGTAGAGTGATTGATTGTATGTCGTCTTACGTCCCATTTGAGAATTTTTAGACGTCACCATATACAGGTGAAGAGCTTCAAATGTAGACCTTTACTTAACACTCAGGGCCATTGAGCAGTGAGGGTTCTTTATGGTGCCACACCTACTGTAACACAGGGCCCTGGTTTTTAAGGTCTCATCCGAAAGACCCGCAACTTTCACTTCAAAGTGCTGAGTGCTTGGCAAAGGAACAGTTGCTACCCATTTTTATCGACTGAGGTCAGTCACGGCCATGATTCAAATACACAACCTTCCGATCACAGAGCTAGCACTCTACCAACTGAGCTACCGTGACGGTTCCTGGTAGTGTGCATCCTTAGATGTATCATCCAAGGTTGCATGTTTGGTCAACATAGGGCTTACAGTTCCTTGGAAATGAGACCTGCTCGAAAAACTTTAACCTGGTCACTCATCCTGAAATTGTAGGTCGATCAGATCCAGCATCTGAAGCAAGCCTGGAAGTAAGCTACAGTCCCTGAAACGTTCTACTTTCCCACTTGAACAGTGAGCGAACGCTGAACGAACGGTGAATGAACGCTGAATGAACGCAGAGCGAACGGTGAGTGAACGATGTGTGAACACTAAACACAACTTGGTGAACGATGTGTGAATGCTGAACAGTGAGCGAATGCAGCATGCGGTGCGCAATCGGGAGTGCAAAGTGAATGGTGAACGAATGGTGAACGCAAGATGAACGATTTATTTGGAATGCCTCTGATCTTTTCCTTGCATTGAAACTATTCTACTCTACTGCATTCTAATGTCAGGGTCAAAAAAAAATAAATAAATAAATAAACAAATCAATGAATAAATAAATAAATAAAATAAATGTTCCAAAATTGACCTAAGAAAGATGATACATGCACATTAAGTAAAACTATTAATTTGAGTTTCTTACAATATTTTCTGCACATATGTATGATAATAAAACTTTTTTAATCACACGATTTTTATCGCTGTAAAACATTGTAATTGTTATCGAACACTGTAGTATAAAAGAAAAAATT